TAAGAAAATGTGATTTTGGCACTGTTTAAGAGTGCAGTTGGACTTTTTTTAGTTTTTTCATAGTAAAAAATATAAAAATAAATAAAAATGTTATTTTTATTTATTTTTAAATAAAATTTATTTTATAAAACATTTAATATTATGATTTCAAACATTATTTTTATTTACATTTTAAATAAATAAATAAATAGACATATAGTTTTTCAAGGTCTAAAAAATGTTCAAGGTATGAATATTTAAAATTATAAAGTTGTTTTATTAATCGGCCTAGATTGAATATATGGTTGGAATAAAATATAACTATATAAATAAACAAACCTTAAAGATTTATTTTTTATTAAATTTATTTTTTATTTTTTATATAAAAAAATAGTTAAATATTATTTATTGGATTTTGAATATCCAATAAAAAAATAGTAAAATATTATTTATTGGATTTTGAATATCCAACATTATATTATTTATTATTCAATGTAAAATAAAAGAATTACATGTATATATGTACATATTGTAGCCTTTCAAGGCCTAGAAATATTTATGATATTAGCATGTAAAATTATAAAGCTTTTTTTTTTAAAACCAAATTGGATTGAGTACACGATTGGAATAAAACACAATCAAACAAACAAACTTTAAGGATTTATTTTTTATTGTATTTACAGTTTGAAGAAAAAATTCATAAAAAAAAGCTATATAGAGAAAAATTATAGTAATTCATAAGTTTTTTTAAAAAACTAATAAAAAAAATAAAAATCTAAATGAATTGGACTAACCTTTTAAAATAGATTAACTTATAAAATCTTAAATTCATGTCGTGAAAGTTTAATAATTAAATAGAAAATTTTTTGACAGGTTACTCATAATCAACTGAATTAACCCGCTAAACTCGAGATTGAGGTCTTGAAAGTTTAATAACTAAATAAAAAATTAATGGATTTATCTATAATTAATTTGGCTAACCCGTTAAATCATGTTAACTCGTGAAACTCGAGATCTGAAGGTTTAATAATTAAATAAAAAATTGATGCGTTTACCTAGAATTAATCATGTTAACTTATCAAATTAAGTTAACTCGTCAAATCCAGGATACGTGTCATGAAAGTATGATAATTAAATAAAAAAAAAATTAACAATAACAAAAAAAAATTAATTAAAAAAATTATGGATTAACCTATCAAATTTAGTATCCGTATATGAAAGTCTCGTAACAAAATAAAACATTAATAAACTAAACACAAACAAAAAAAAATCATTAGAAAAAAAATAGCTACATTACTTTTTAGGATATATTTTAATATAATATAATATATTAATAGTAAAAAAAGTTAAAAACTATGGATAAACCTACAATATGTTTATCATATTTTTTTAAGTATTAATTAATATATAGTGTATTGATTAATATATAGTTGATTTAAGGAGTGTGTATCCAATAGTGGTATTTATTTATCGAAGTAGATTTGAGTCTCAATCAATCTAATTTTATTAATTTCAATATAAATGGACTGAAGACCTCCATTGTATAGAGATTTTAGAATGAGACAGAAAATAAATAAATAAAGGATTGGATAGAAGGGAGAGCGGGAATTTGAATGAGAGGAAACGGTGCGTTCTACCGCAGGCATAAAATGGCAGGCATGCCTCTTGGTCTCTATTGCAGAAGGGCAAAGAATCAGCGAAGTTAGGGCCGGGCTTCCTCCCTCCCTCTCTCTTCGAACGCAACCGTCTTCTTCTCCTGTGACCGATAAATTAACCGGCTTTTGTATCTGCAGTTTCGACCTCGTTTTCTCAAGATCTTCCTTTCTCGAGTTTTTGTTGGTTCTTATCTTTGCGGTTAACCAAAGTGCATACCAACTGTTCAACAATTTGCCTAAACGAATTTGTCTCACCACTCTTTTCCATTTCTCTAAACGCAAAGCAAAACAAATTTAAAGGACACGACACTCCTTTATGAAGAGAGATGTTGAATAGAGTCTCAAGGCGCTGCTTTTGCACTGCTGCTGCTGCTCCCACAACACTATCGCCTTGGCTCTTTGTTGGGTTGGGAAATCCCGGCGAGAAATTCAAAGGAACCCGACACAATGCATGTATCAAAATCTCGAAGAACCCCGATGAGATTTAGCTTCTTTTACTATTTTTTTGACTCAAACTTGGATGGATGCAGGTGGGTTTTGAGATGATTGATGCATTTGCAGAGTCACTAGGGATTTCTATGAATATACCTCTTTGTAAAGCTCTTTTTGGAGAAGGTGGTTTTGTTCCAAAGCATGTCCTTGTGGTTCATTTCTTTTCTTCTTTTTGTAAAATATATGAACTTTATCTATGTGGAAGTACTAGTACAGGTTTGGAAATTGCAGGGTTTGTTGGTGACGCACCTGTTCTTCTTGCGAAGCCTCAAACTTACATGAATCTGAGTGGTGAATCATTCACATAATTTTCTTTTTCCATGGTATAAATTAAAAAAAGGGTTCAATTTTGATGGATATTGCTTTAATTAATCTTCAAATGATTTGTAGTAAATTTTTTATTTGATCGTGAATTATTTTTCCCCTACTAACTTTACATAAATTCATAAGGTATATAAACAAAAAAAAATCTTTTTTAAATAAAAAAATATACTATTTATATCAAACCTATTTAAATTAATTTTATCTTAAATTGTTTCAATGATACACTCATAGAAAACCTAAATGTCTATTAATCTGAAGAGTAAATGTATTGTATGATAAAATTTCATGAACGAAGATAAAGAATTTTCTCATCGATTTTTAACAAATATTTAACCCTTGCTAAATCTGTTCTAGAAGCATCGGATAAAATACTTACATTTAACCTAAACTTAACTTTATTTATACACCGTAATGATAACGGAAAAGGAGATATGTAAGTCCAGGGAGAATAATGTTTGAATGGCAGTGCGCGGAGCACAGTGTGATAATGTAGACCTAGCTAGCCTCAATTATTTGCTGAGCTTTTTTTTGTCTTTAGAGGTTTTAGGAGATATGACGTGTGAAGATGATGGTAGCACCATGACATCATACATGATTTAAACAGGGGCCCGAATAAACTTCTTCTTCACTTTCAAGGGCATCCAACTCATTTCATCCCCTTGTTGTTAGGGTTCGTGTATAGATTGAAGAGTGTGCTTATTGGTATTATTACATTACAAGAATTGTTACCAAGAGATAAAAAGATCTTAATTATAAACAATTTAATTTTGAATTATGAAATTGTAAAAAAATATTAATTAAAAATATTATAAGAAAAAAAAGATAGCAATAAAAAAAACATGCATAAAATTTAATAGAAAAGAATATGAAGAGAATGAAATTATAAAAATTAAAAAATAATTCCAAACAAAAAATAAATAACAATAAAAAATTGAAAATCAAATATAAAAAATTCCCGCGGTCCTTCGTGGATAACAAAAAAAAAAAATAACGTGAAAAACTACTAGGTTAAAACAATTTAAGACCCAGGGTAAAGTAATAATTTAAATCTCATAAATCCAAAAACACAGCAACAATAAAAGAATTTATGAAAAAATAACAAAAAAAAAGATCTTAATCTATTCACACTGGCCTCGCAAGCCCTATGGTAGATCATGAATTTTTTTTAAAATAATTAAATTAAATAAACTTATAAATTTTGTGATCATTAATATAAAATTGAGATAGTACCATAAAAAAATAACAAATAAATAATAAAAATAAAAATAAAATAAATTTATTTTTTAAAAAAGATAAAAAAAAATGAACCTGCATTAACTTTTAAAATCGATGATTTTAATAATGAATCCATGAATAACTCAACAGAAGGCAACCCTTAAAAAAATAACAAAACTAGACTAAAAATTTATTAAAAAAATTATTAAAACATCAACTTACAAAAAAAAAGTAGGTAAACCCAAGTGAACTTTCTAGATATAATATAATCTCTAAAACTCGTAACTTATAAAATTCTAGATTTGAGAGATAAAAAGATCTTAATTATAAACAATTTAATTTTGAATTATGAAATTGTAAAAAAATATTAATTAAAAATATTATAAGAAAAAAAAGATAGCAATAAAAAGAACATGCATAAAATTTAATAGAAAAGAATATGAAGAGAATGAAATTATAAAAATTAAAAAATAATTCCAAACAAAAAATAAATAACAATAAAAAATTGAAAATCAAATATAAAAAATTAAAAAATCATAAAGGGTTGAAAAATATTTATAATTTGATATATTATATATAAATTAAAAAATAATAATGATAAAATTAAAAAATATTTTATAATACTATAAATAAATTAATTTTTTTTAAAATTAAAAGGACATTGACCAACCGGTAGTGCCTATCGGGCTCAGTTTTAAGTCTCACCAAGTCATCTCTAAGACTTGGTCATTAGCCTGGTTCTTCAGTCGACAGTGATGTTGTTGTGGATAGCCTCCAACTAGACTGCTTAACAACGTATATTTTTTTTTCCTGGAATTATACATAGATTTGCTTTAGAAAATTTTAAATTAATATTTTTTAAATAATTTGGATGGATTAACATTAAAAATTAAAAATATTTTAATATATTTTCACTAAACCAAAAATCATTTTCTATCACAATACCAAATACTTGTATGGGTAATCTATTAGTTGATCACTTAAAATCTGATTATTTTTGAAAATTATCTTTACCTTTTCATATAATAATTGAGTGTATTAATAAAAATGAAATCATTTAAAAGATAACTCTTGGAATTTTTTTATTTTATTTTCTCGTAATTTTATAATAAAATGTAAATTAAATACCTTTTCTTTTATATATGTCGTAACCGGACACCATAGATAAGTGTAAAATGAAAATGACATCCAAGTTATTTTATATACCGATTTCCATGTCGAAGACTCCAAATTCTAGGCTTGTGAGAATCTAAATGAACGGTGTATGAACATGCACACCGCACATACTTTTTGGATAGATTGTTATATTTGGTTGCTTAAACACGCCAAGTTTGGTGGCAAAATAAGCCACCACATTCCATGCCATTTCTTTATGTGGATAAAACACGCTTTGCTCATCTTATTTTATACAACAGTCCAGTCCCTCGACAATGGAAGTTGCCATGCACAGCAATCAATTACTGCTTACTCAAGTTTTTTTTTTTTTTTTTTTATCATGATCAACGTAATCCCTTAGCTTAGGGTCAGTACTGTTGGTAATATTCCAATCTGTTTTCGTCCTTTGATTATAAGAAAATTATACCCTCTAATATTCAGAAGCAAGTGGCAATTGCATATATAAATGAGTTGCCACATGGTAGTTTCGGGGAAAAACTTTAAAAAAGAAGAAGAAGATTAGAGTATTTAATTTTTATACATGTTAATTTATTTAATTCCCTTGTCTTGCGTTTTAATTAATGATATGCCAATGGAAATGTAACTTGTCAATGAAATTATTGAAATATATTAAATTTAATAAAAAAAATTGAATATCCTCCCATGCACTAAGCTGTTTTATAATATAAAAATATATATTAAAATGGATAGCTTATTCTCAATTTTATATTTTTTTATATTTTTTTAGATTAATATGAATGTTCGGGTCAGCTTGCGCGTACCACGACTAATCCTATGGACCCTGAAGTTAATGACTATGTAAGTCTCTAGTGACTATTATATAAGCAACTAAGAACTTGAACTTGAGATCACAAAGAATAAACCCCTTGATTTTAAATTCTTATCATTTAACCATCACATAAACAATTATTTTATATTTATTTTTGTGAGATATGTTACTGTGCATAGCCTCTCACTAAGCTGCACAAATGATTGGGCCAATGCGTACTTGCACTCATGGCCACCCCTACCAGCAAATTGGACCACTTACGTACATGATTAATTGTAGCACAGTCCAGTTGTTATTATATACATACAACTTACATGAAATCCCATCTGAACGTACAGGCCTTGTGATCATGTTGCCTATCAGCCCTGCAGTGCGTGGCTCCTTGTGTTTTATTGTTCTTTTCAAATCTTCATTTCTTTCAAAGCCTTAACCATGTTTCAGATGTTAATGTTGCTGGGATCATTCAATAAGCACTCGGTGAGTTCATTTTCAGTCCTCACGCATTCGATTTCTTTCTCCAGCTCAGTATATATGGTCTCGAACTGCCCAAAAAAAAACGAAGGAGAATTAAAACAAGGAGGCTGGGTTTATGGGCTTTAATCAGGCAGAAAAAAGAAGTTACCCTTTGGTAAATCAATTTTAGCTGGCTTGTAAGATGGAATATTTCTTGACGGAATTCTTCGACGGTGCTCTTCAGGTTTTCATTTTCAATGATGGTCATGGCCAGCTTGTTCTCGGTTTCTTGCACTGCTTCCTGCTTGAATAATAAAAGAAAAGGAGTAGGTTGGTGGGGGAGAAGAAAACAGTACTGAATACAGAGAGCCGAGCTGAAATGTTAGCTTCCATTGTGAAATTATGCACAGCATAAGCCAAAATAATTCACACAAAGGGGAAGACTCTTTCGTTCTTTGGATTTCTTAACCTCATGATGAGCAGTGCTCGTGAGACTGGCATTTACCTTCTTGTTCTTTCGATAACGTCTATCAGTTTCCCGCTTCTTTTGCTTTTGCATTTCCTTGGTGACAGTTCCGTTCGAGCGGTACACATGAGGCGGGAGATGGAGATCGGTAGCACTCGAGGGAGTGGGAACAGCGAGGAAGGAGATCACTGGATCTAGCAGTAACACCAACAAAGGGATCAGAGAGATAAAAGTTAAGCTCTCCATAATAATCAACGATGAACAACTTTGTTAAATGACACAAGATTTAGCACTTACTCTCCTCCTCCTCCAGTCCCGCAGGGGCAGGGGCAGGGGCAGCAAACAAAGGTAGTGTTGAAGGCATTGTATTAATTATAGTTCGGTGTAATCTGTGTATTCACACGGAGGAAGACAATGATTTTCTTCTTCTCTCTGGAGAGGCAAGTGCGACCGAAAGCGCACGAACGCACACAGATAGTGATTTATTTATTTTTATTTTAATATAAAATTCGAAATACAGAGGACTTTGCCAAATGTTGGGCCATCCATCCCAAGTCGAGAGAAAATTTGAGTTAGATTCGGAAAGTGAGGGGCTTTAAGGGAAGAAAGAGAGGAAGAATTTATACCCGTCAATCCGAAGTCTGAGAGAAAAGTTGAGTTGGAGTGGGAAAGTGAGGGATTTTAAGGGTAAAAAAAAGACGAAGAATTTAAACCCATCCATCCCAAGTTTGAATGAATTTTGATAAAAATTCTTGATGTGTGTTTTATCTTATAACTATCTTAATTTAATAATTAGATTTGAAGATATAATTTAGATATTTTTTTTAAGATAATATATAAAATTATATTTTTTTAATTATATTTTTTTTCAACTTTTTAATTTATAAAATTTGTTTCTCATTATT